CAACGCATAACTTGTAAATACATACATTAAACTTAATCTGTAACATAGATATCTAAATAAACGTTAGTTGGAATAGACTCGCTAGAATAGTAAAGATCGTGCCCAGTGGTTTGGCATTGATAGAACAGTTTATGAGATCGTGTCTGTGTTTGACATTGATAGTTAAGTAAGATTGAGTTGTACCTGGATTGATACGGTTTTAAGAAACACTTATTGAGTAGGGCATTTACAACATATGTATAGAGATTTTTTAACTTTCTTCTTGATCTTAATCATGTACATATTAGTGTACAACAGAAAAAAACGTTTACTATTAATTTTTCGAATCACAGAATTGCCCTTCATTGCCCAGGTTACTTATAGTTAAAAAAAAGTCCCCCGGTGTACCAACGGTATCCCTAAAAAAATTCAGCCAATTTGGTTCAGCCGTTAGGTCAGCTATAGCGAACATATAAATGAGCGAAGAGCTTTATTACATAGATGTAACTTTAAAGGTAGTTTTTATTGTTAAACGTTGTACAATCTGTTTACATTTTATACATACAACACACACATATAAAAACTAAGATTGAGTAAGGACTAAAAAATACACAGAAAAGAATATATGCCTAATATAAAATACAATAAAAAATATATTAATATAAGTGTTAGTGAATAGTTGATGCCAGGAAGGAGAAGTTTAATATGATAATCTAAGTTGCATAAATGCAGGTACACATATTATATAATTACCCATACTTTTCTCCCTCCCAGGGAATCATTATTGACATTTAATTAGATGAAACTTGGGGTTATNGGGTGGATGCTGTAAATTTGGGGGATGTCCTCCTCTCTGAAAATTGGAGAAGATGCTCACCTATCCCCCTTGGGAAAAATTTTGCCAAATTCTCGCTTCTCCCTTTCGATTTGAAAGATATTTTGGCCTGCATGGCGCTTCTACTTCTGTATGTTTTGAATTCCTAAATCCTTGATAAATCTAAGATATCAGATATTAATACAAATAAAAAGATTTGAATGTTTTGAGTCCTTGCCAAGATCTGACAAGTAAATTCAGATTCTATCTTTAACTTTTGTAGAATTCCAGGTTGCATTAATTTCAAAAATTCAACTTTTTAACTGATTTTTTTCAGGCTATTACATGTTACCAAAAATTACAATAAACCCAAAATCAGGTATCCGACCCTCCGAGCGGAAAGGTGTCAGCTGGAGCTCTCTAAGCCTGTTTAGAGAGAGGATCATATTATGTGCGTTGTTGTATTAGATATAGTCAAAGACTACACAGACTGCTTATCTCCTTTCACAGGGTGGGCTACGTAGGCCTAAGTTGACCCTGCACGACATGCTACGTTTTTATGATAGGTTTCCTTAAATATCCCTGAATACAGATGTTTGCTGATTGGTCGTGTACAATTCTTGTACACAATAGAACATGCTGTGGAAAATATCGCATATTTTAGCTGATAATCGATCTCTGTAACTCTCTTTTCTCTGGATAAAAAACCGGTTTTTACCCTCCTCAAAATGGATACTGGATTAATCATGGCATACCTATGACAATGATAGGCTAAAGACATACTCCCCGTGTTTAAAAAAAATCTGTCCACATGGTAATACACATTAACAGTGAGGACTGTAGTATATCTTATACCTATTACCCTTCCACCCCCATCATCATCCTCATACCTAATAAAAACTCCAAATCCAAAATGTCCTAAGCAGTATCCTAATTACTCGGATAGCAGAGGCTGGGGTTTCCAATTTATTTGGTCTGGTCACCGGGAGAAACTGTCAGATCTGTTAGACAAGTGAAAAAGATATAGAATATTTGGAACATATGTAAATATAAAACTGGAGAGAAGTTAAAAGGAAACAATGATAATAAAGGAGATATGAAAAATGGAAAGATACTCTTGATGAAAGCTTTACACTATCAACCTTTATCTGTTAGGGATTGGAGACACCATTGGAGATTCCCTTTTCAGTCTTTAAAATAATGTGGAATAAATACTTTGAATGTGTGCATTTGTATTGCATAGACAAAAGACAATAATGCTGACTTCGGAGTTTAAATGAAAGAAAAACCTTTCACCCTGCAAGGTTTTTACGATCTGGTTTATTATGAGCTTATAGTTAGTCAAGAGTATAGACACAGGTCTGCATCCAATTGCAATAATTTAAAAATTCATAAAAATTGTTAAAATAAAAAAATAGAAAATATGTAAAAAAAACCAAGAAAACGAAAATAAATAAAAAGTATGTAAAAAGAAACAATAAACAGAAAATGAATTTTTTTTATCATACCAAAAAGCAATCGACTTTAATCCAATAAAACATAAATCTTATGGCTTCTAAGCTATGTTTTGCGCCCCTCTTTCTTGCAATAATATAAATTCTGACTGACCACAAACCTTTCCTCCTGTCATGTGAGTTGCAACAAAAATTCAGGTTAGATTGGTTTTCCTGTTTTTATACAACAACAACAAAATAAATGTCACCCGAAAAAACTTTAACTTAAAGAATTTAACTCATTTTTGTCTAAAATGAGAAAAATCATGACCATTCTCACTTGTGCCGTAAAAATTCTCTTGCTAAATTCAACGTTCGATAGTAATTTATTACTTTTTGGACCAGGCCAACTTCAAAGCATTGGACGGGAATAATTTATTTTTGAATATCTAAATAGACTTTAAGTTCATTTTAAGAAAACACTAGATAACAATGATTGCCTCCCCCCCCTCTGATAATCTCAGCCCTTTGTATTTTTCTTCAAAATAAGTCTCCGGCTCTATATCTTATTTTGTTTACAATTGAAAACTGGTTTCAAACAACAAGTTGCAGTATGCAATTGCAGTACACAGTTCGGAAACAATATGAGTATGACCGGAAAGTATGAAAATCTAACAAGTGTGCTCAACTAGGATGTACTGTACATTGTGGTAAATTTAAGCCAAAGTTAATATATATATAGATATGCAGGCAGGTAGAAACCTCCTTCCTAAATTGATGTAGCAGACAACTAATTTTTGAACCTCTGATGCTGTTTGCACCTTTTCTCAAGACCTCAAAATTTATACCTGCCTGCATATCTATATATATATTATCTTTGATTTAAGCCAGTTGACATGGTGGTAATTGACAAAACTGATTCTTTGGAAAAAAAGAGACTCTAATCATGTTTAGTTGAATGTGTGTACTGTAATATATTGAATATATACTAAGTAAGTAAGTAAGTAAGTAAGTACGTAAGTAAGTAAGTAAGTACCTAAGTAAGTAAGTAAGTAAGTAAGTAAGTAAGTAAGTAAGTAAGTAAGTAAGTAAGTACGTAAGTAAGTAAGTAAGTAAGCATACAACTAGATCTCCGAAATCTAAACTTTGATTTCCTTCAGTTATATTCAGTTCCATGTTTGTGCCTGATACTAGATTCAAGTACAGGAAGTCGGAAGCTGATAAGAACTAAAGAAAAACAGTTTTTATTATTATTTTAAACCTAAAATATTTAAATTTAAAGGGATTGTACATATATTTTAAAGATGCACATTTTTTTCCTTTGACCAACCAAGAGCTAGCAGTAAAGTAATCCGGCCAATTAGATAAAACCCATCTAAACTTCATTTGCATATTTTTTTTGTAAATTGTACTTCTTTGTTAGATTAGGGAATTGTGTAATGTTTCAAGCGAAATTCAAAATTTGCTGGGTAAAAATTGCGGTAAGTTTATTACTACGTTAAATGGCCGAATTTTTTAATGTAAATTGCTTGCAATCATATGCAAATTAGCGCAAAAAGGGTTGCAAAAATAATATCATTTACCTTTAGGCAGAAATTAAGAATTAAAATAAAAGTCAGTAGACGGGCTGGTAAAATTAACTTTAAATGAAAATTTGTGCGAAAGTCATTGAGTCGTTGCCACAAATGCAAATTGTCTAATCCCAATATCTTTGAAACCTGATGGTGCCAACCTTTGATAATTAAGAAATAGGTTATTTAATCCAAAAGAATTCATAGTTTAAAATATCTAAGGTCTACGACATTGGGTTTTCAAAGATGAATAGATTAGAAAATCAGGGTTTGTGGCAAAAAATCACTTTATTTCGCAAGAATGCTAAAGCGCAACTTTTGCAATGTTTTTGGTGTACAATTGCGCAATGTTTGAGATGCACATATTGGGTATTTTTTATAGTTTCAAATATTGATAGTTTCAAATATTGATAGTTTCTAATATTGATAGTTTCAAATATTGATAGTTTCAAATATTGATAGTTTCAAATATTAATAGTTTCAAGTGACCGATACCTTTAAAATTTTAACCAAACAAAAAAGATGAAGAAATTAAAATTATTTCATCAGAAAATTTATTGGTTTTGATTGCGGTTTCTCTATGAAATATACTTGCAGATATATATTGAAGCAGAAACTAGGCAGTTTTTCCTCTTTTTTACATGGCAATATATCTTCATGAGGTACTGCAGTTGTCAATTTGGCATGCATCACTTTAAAGGGAGTGTTTGCAAAAAATGAAAGGCTTACGGTGAAAAATAGGCACTTTTGATCGCTACTAATCTTACTTCTATCTGTTGCGTCTTTAAGGAGAAAATTGGTAAAAACGACTCATGCTGAAGAACGTAGCGTCCATATAAATACAAAAAGTTTCAAGATTCAGCTCGGATCGTAAAAAAATCAATTTTTTGCGAACACTCGAATTACTGGAAGCGGAGGTCAGTTAAAATTAAGTGAACAGTCCCTTTGAATAACAGATGGACATGATATCAAAATTTATTTATTTGTTTCAACAGCAGATACTAGAGATGTATTTATTTATCTAAACAGCAGATACTATAGATGTATTTATTAGTTTTAACAGCAGATACTAGAGATGTATTTATTTATTTAAACAGCAGATACTAGAGATGTATTTATTTATTTAAACAGCAGATACTATAGATGTATTTATTTGTTTAAACAGCAGATACTATAGATGTATTTATTTATTTAAACAGCAGATACTAGAGATGTATTTATTTATTTAAACAGCAGATACTATAGATGTATTTATTTATTTAAACAGCAGATACTAGAGATGTATTTATTTGGTCTGTTTTCGCCAGTACACACGATTCCTTCACACAATGCCGCTTTCTCACCCTAAACACAAAATTAAAAATTTCATTTTAAAAACAAAAAATTATTTAAAATAAACCTACCTTAGACATTTCCAGACGGGCCGCCACTGAAATATTGACAGTTATAAAAGCATCATTTTGTTTAAAGTTTATTTGATTTTGTTGTTGTTAACATTAGTCACATACAAACATTAATTCATTGTTAAAATATCCAAAATAGGAATGAAATAAAAATATCACTTTTTTCTTTTTATCCTCCTTTGAACGGTAAATCTGGGTTTAATCAATGATGGATATTGGATAAAACGAGAAACATTTGTGGAGAATGGATAACAACCCATATGCACCTGCTTTAAATCTGAAACACTTTTTGACACAAATTGACAAATTGTTTGTAAGGCAAAAAGGTCAATGAAGGGAGGTTTAGTAATAGCTCGGTATAAAGGTTGGTATGACGGAAGGTAGGTTGTAGGGTGGGTTGGAAGGTGGGTTGTAAGGTGGGTTGGAAGGTTGGTTGTAAGATGGGTTGGAAGGTAGGTTGTAAGGTGGGTCGTAAGGTGGGTTGGAAGGTTGGTTGTAAGATGGGTTGGAAGGTTGGTTGGAAGATGGGTTGGAAGGTTGGTTGTAAGATGGGTTGGAAGGTTGGTTATAAGATGGGTTGGAAGGTTGGTTGTAAAATGGGTTGTAAAGTGGGTTGTAAGGTGGGTTGTAAGGTGGATTGGAAGGTTGGTTGTAAGATGGGTTGTAAAGTGGGTTGGAAGGTTGGTTGTAAGATGGGTTGGAAGGTTGGTTATAAGATGGGTTGGAAGGTTGTTTGGAAGATGGGTTGGAAGGTTGGTTGTAAGATGGGTTGAAAGGTTGGTTGTAAGATGGGTTGTAAAGTGGGTTGTAAGGTGGGTTGGAAGGTTGTTTGTAAGATGGGTTGTAAAGTGGGTTGTAAGGTGGGTTGAAAGATTGAATGATTGAAAGAAGAAGGAATGAAGGTTAAAAGGGGAAAAAAAGAAGAATGGTTGGAATGAAAGAAGAAAGAAAATGGTTGAATAAAAGAGAAAGAGTATGCAAGATGGTTGGAAGGTTAGAAAGAGGGAAAGTATATTGGATACATGAAAAGTTCAACAAAACAAAGTTACATCGGATTGTAATTTCCGTTTAGCGGAGCAAGAAAAAGAGAAGAAAAATCTAGACCACGAGGGTAGAATAAGAACTCAATTCCCAGTATGTTCCAAATACAACTTATCACAGATAATTCTAACAAAAGGAGAAAACTTCTTTCTTTGCCCCCTTTTCCTGATTCTTTAATAGTATCAGATGTTACCAGGTTCACACTTTTTATTTAATATGATATTTTAGAAAGAATTTATCTAATCTAGTATTAATGGATTTTAATGAATAGCTTTGTTCATCTTCATTTACTACCTGTTCCACGTCAAATCTGCCCCTGTTTAGGGGCGTATCTGGGAATAATTACTTAGTAGCATTTGTCTGTAGTGTAATAAATCAGGACATCTTTTTTTAATATAAAATTATAGAAAGAAATTAGGTCTTTGTCACAAAGTCAAATAATCCCTAAATTTTTGCAACTTGATGGTGTGGACCTTTGTTATTTCACTCAGATTGTTTGATCTAACAGAATTAATACTTTAAAATATTGAAATATCAAGGTCTACGACATTGGGTTTGCAAAGATAAAGGGATAGAGAATCAGAGTTTGTTGCAAAGACTCAATTCCTTTGTAACATTCTAAAAACAATACAATTCTATAGCTTTCCGCAGGGAAAGACCTCCTCTATGCAGAGGCACTTCTAGTACCCAAAAAAGGGCGTGAGAGAAAGAGAAAATGACAAACCCAATTGTTACACAGTGCACACATCTTAAACTTATGGAATGTTGACCCTTTGTCGCATTACACCCTATGTTGTTTTACCGTCGGTCATTTTACTCTTGCTTGCGTTTTTTACCTTTGTCGTTAGACCCTATGGTATTTGACTCTATGTCGGTGAATCAAATTAAGGTTCTTGAGTTAGAAACTCACCTTTCTCATCGTGAACCATCTCTGTATCAACGCCTCTATTTTTCTCAACAGAACCTCTAGGCTTCTCAGCAGAACTGGCATCCTCGCTCATATGAGTCATACCATCACCTTTCACATCAGACCCAGTCCTTTCCGAGATGTTTTCGTCTTTCTCATTTTCCATTACACTTTCATCTTTCATGTCTGAATGATATCCTCCGTTGTTACTTTCTTCATTCATTGCTGTTGAATCATTGGCAGACGTTTTATCCATATCTTCTTCATTCATTGCTGGTGCATCATTGGCAGAAGTTTTATCCATTACTTCTTTATTCATTGGTGGTGCATCATTGGCAGAAGTTTTATCCATTACTTCTTCATTCATTGCTGGTGCATCATTGGCAGATGTTTTATCCATTGCTTCTTCATGCGTTCCTTGTGCATCCATATCTTCTTCATTCATTGCTGGTGCATCATTGGCAGAAGTTTTATCCGTTGCTTCTTCATTCATTGCTGGTGAATCATTGGCAGAAGTTTTATCCATTGCTTCTTCATTCATACCTGGTTCATCATTGGCAGAACTTCTGTTGTTCATATTCTTCTTAGCATCACCATTGTTTTCAGAACTACCTATGTATAAATAGAAAACATATGATCCACAAAATCTTCAAATGGAATTGATCTTAGTTAATTTTCTTTATTAAGAATCAATTTATGGAAAATTAAACGAAAACAGGTGACAATTTCCCAATTGGCAACTTCCCAAAAATGTAATTTCCCAATCGGCAACTTCCCAGAGATCAAGTTAGGCCTTCTGGGCTGCTGCAGGACAGACTTGGGAAGTTGCCGTTTAATTAGAAAATTGCAAATTTGGGAAGTTTCCCCTTGGAAAAATACCTTTAGGAAAGTACCTAACATCTACCTACATGCCTGGATTGAATTTACTGTCAAAACTTCTATTAGATTTTTAAAGACCTTTTGGTGTATTCTCCTTTTATTTATTGGCTTTACTAGAACATTTTTATCTAACCAGGCAATTGCAAGTTGTGCACAGTAAGTTGTTAGAGATCAATGATCGGGTCAAAACAGAATTTAAGTACTTTTTTGTGATATGCTGAACCTCCTGCTCAAATATTTTATAGAATATTATTGGACCTAATTGACTCGATCATTGTCCCTAATTTTAAATATATAGATTTGTAAACCATCGTCCTACATATGTGTGGGCAACTGCTCCATTACTCAAATTCAAACTCCTGAATGACAAACTCATGAAATTCAAACTCCTGAAAAACAAACTCTTGAAATTCAAACTACTGAAAGACAAACTCGTGACAAGACAAACTCCTGACGGGAAAATCTCCTGAAGAAACAAACTCCTGAAAATATAAAATTTTTCTCAGAATAAAATGTGATAAAATTCAAAAACTTTATGAGAAAAAAACCCGCAAATTTTCTATAAAAAATTTACAAACTTTAGTAATGAAACATGCTTCATGCAGCAAAGTATTACAATACGATGTAAAGTCCGTACTGCTAGGCTACAAACAATGAGAAGAATGTAATAATTACTCTGGCTGGAACGCATACCAAGCATGAATTGATGACAATTAAGGTCAAAATTATTTTTAATGAAGCAGCAAGCCGTAGTGCTGAGAACCCCACTGTAGGCACTAAAAGATAACTTTGCGTAATTAGAATAGAAAATATTTAGATTTGAATTTGATAATTTACACGAGACAACTAGATTAAATATTAATTGTGAAACATTTACTAAAATTTGATTCACCGTTAAAGCAAATTTTTGTTTGTATTTCATAAGTTTATATGTTCAGGAGTTTGCCTTTCAGGAGTTTCTCTCGTCAGGAGTATGCCTTTCAGGAGTTAGTCTTTTCAGGAGTTTGTCTTTCAGGAGTTTGCCTTTCAGGAGTTTGAATTTCAGAAGTTTGTTATGGCGCCCATTTTTTGGTTCGTTTTTGCCTTTATTGTTTGCCAGAGTCAACATTTGGCAAACGGAAAAAAGCACATGTTAAAAATAAACAATTTTGAAGAAAGAAACTTTTTTTAAACTATGCCACATTTGGACCCTGAAAGAAAATTAATATAGGCAAAAAATTATCCAAAAACAAACCAATGGAAAGCATTTCACTAGTGATGGGCACAGGCAACGCCGTGTACTTCTGCTAGTTTTGAATAAAACTCTAAACCTGAATCATCTGAATAGTCTCCTCCGAACTCTCGTTCCGGTTCTAATAGTTCAGTTTAATAATATGTCAAAATAGTATTAAAGGGAGAGACCGGCTATGTAATATATTGGAACTGAGAATGCAGTATTGTAGAGAAAAACAACTGATGAAAAATTACAAATGATTTTACGCTTTATAGTAAACTAAAATATTGAAACGTCTAGTTCAAATTTGTTACAAAGCCGATCTCTCCCTTTAATTTCGAGTTTAATTGATAATAATTCTACAATGCTTTAAACCAAATTTACTTTCTCGCTAAACTTTTTAATTCAAGATGTATTATGTAAGCAAGTTTTTGCGAAATTTTATTCACAAAAAAAAATTTAGAGTCAGAATAACGACATTTTCTTATCAGATTAAAGTTAAAGGTATATTTGTTTATTTGTATATTTGTTTATTTGTTTATTTGTTTATTTGTTTATTTGTATATTTGTTTATTTGTTTATTTGTTTATTTGTTTATTTGTTTATTTGTTTATTTGTTTATTTGTTTATTTTTTTTATTTGTTTATATGTTTATTTGTTTATTTGTTTATTTGTTTATTTGTTCATTTGTTTATTTGTTTATTTTTTTATTTGCTCATTTGTTCATTTGTTCATTTGTTTATTTGTTTATTTGTTTATTTGTTTATATGTTTATTTATTTATTTGTTTATTTGTTTATTTGTTTATTTGTTTATTTGTTTATTTGTTTATTGTTTATTTGTTTATTTGTTTATTTGTTTATTTGTTTATTTATTTATTTGTTTATTTGTTTATTTTTTTATTTGTTTATTTGTTTATTTGTTTATTTGTTTATCTGTTTATTTGTTTATTTGTTTATTTGTTTATTTGTTTATTTGTTTATTTGTTTATTTGTTTATTTGTTTATTTGTTTACCTGGTGTTGATTGATTATCAATATATCCTATAGATATAAATATAATATTAAATGTGAAATTAATTATCAAGTTTACCATCACAACTTGGAGAGCTTAGAATTGGATAATTGTACTTTTAAATGTGGAAAAACTTTAAAATACAGAAATACTCTTCTATTTCTAGCTGTGGGGATTGAAGAACTGTAAAAATGCGCAACATGTTTAAATATCAGTACAGTGATAACCAGAAAACGGAGGAATGATTATCGTCTTCTTTTTTTTATTTTTAGATGTGGCATCTTTTGTTATTTGTTATCTTATGTAATTAATATGCTTTTAAAGATGTTTGGTGCACATATTTTATCTAAATTCTTCGCTGTGATTTTGCCAGGCTACATCTGTTGCATAAAACGTGCTGGGTCGACGCTACACTGGGTAGCCTGGCTGGACAGTACGACTGAATACATATAAAGTTTGCATTGTACCGGCATGGATAATGCAACATTTAGACCTTGAAAATTAATGAAAGAAGACGAAATTGAATTCTATTGTTTTCTGTAATCTGGTTTTCTGTTTTTAGAAAAATGTCTACATATATAATTGTGAGCTCACCGCAGCAGACTAATTCCATGGTGCTAGCTGCTCTGTTTGGAGAAGAACTACATTCTATACCAAGACATGAAGCTCTATTTTCACCTATATATATAATATAATGTCAAATATGATTTTATTGATATATTCAGAGTTACCCACAAAATGATGAGACTAAAAAGACGATTTGAATGTTAGATTTGGTTTTCCGCCTTCGATATAACCTGGAGGTCATAAAGGTCTCATATAGGTCTCATAGAGGTCATGTCCTGTCAATAATTTATTAAATGGTTTGGTAAAGAAAAAAGGGATGCATGAATATAAGAAAAATTAGTCGTCTCTGAAGTCTCATTCTTTGTGGGTATCCCTGTAATTTTATATTCTGAGAGTCAGATACAAACAAGGAGTTATGCGAATTGAGTGATGAGTTAATCAAGATCGGTCATGGAAGACATCGTGGTCATAGAGGTCATGTAGAAGATTTCTTTACTGTTAGCAAGTATAAAGTACCAAAGACTGCACCCCCAGGGCCCCCCGAATGTTCAATATTTTGCCACGAAACCATGCTTAAGTACCGTTTTCTTACGTAGAGTGAGACCCATGAAGGTGTGGAATAGGAAGACGAAATGTTTATTTGTGTATTTAATGTTGGTATAAAGCAACAAATTTTACCAGTACATTCAAAATCTACCCAAATGTGAAATGGGACTGTGTACACTATACACTGTACACTGTTCTTGAGTCTTACAGTCGTCTTCCTATTCCACATTTTTAAGGGTCTCATTGTAGGACTAGAAGGGGATGATTCATATGGTTTGCTGTTCCGTTTTGCCTACTAGTCAGAGTGTATAATATACAAATTCCTCTAATTGCTCCAAGGTTGGTTCGGTTTTTTAAAAATAAACCATAGTTTCCAGTGAGAAGAATATTATTGGGCCGTTAAATTTAACATATTATTATTTAAATTAAAATTATAAAATTTTCCTGAAGGTATTTTATCCAATGATTGGTCTGTTGAGGTGGCAGTTTTCACATCTCCATCTTTTCCCAGGTATAGATGGATATTTATCACAGGGAGCTTTTTAGGCAAACCTTCAGTTAACAGAACCTAAACATTGTAAAAGGGATATGGCATTGTCCGATTCACAACGGTACCCTTGAAGCCTTTACATGATCAATAATGTGGAAGATACTGTAGTTTTTATTGGTTTAAAACTGTTTACTCCTGATCATTCATATGTTTTATTGCAGTACAAATACAAATGTCAATTTTGAACAGAAACCACAATTGAAAATATTTAGTATTTAAGATTATAAACACGGATATCTTATTTGTGATTGACCAGACAAACCTTTTAGGGTACAGTTGTGAATCAGACATTACTATCTTTGCAAGGAGAGTCACTTGAAATTATGCTTACAGTTATATTAACCCGGTCGGTATTTAAAGTCAGTGAGGCCTCGTTTACGAACCCATTTACCCAATTAATGATGAATTTTTATTTTAAACATTTTGTCCGTTTTAAAAACGAGTGCACATTTTTATTTGTGAATTTGCAAAACTTACAAAAGAAGCAACTAGTGCTAGTTTAATAAACATGTCTGTCTGCAGAGAACTGAACGTAAACTGAGTCTGATTAATGATCCTTTAAGGAAACAAAATCAATTCAAAATCTCGGTCACATGTTTGTTAATCAAGGAAAGTGAAACTGTTGGATTTCTCATTTTTGTTTCATGATTTACATTCAAAAACATAGTAAACACATAGTTTAAAATCTTACATATTTTTAATCATAACTCCTCTTTCTCAAGAGGTATTGAGAAGAACAAAAATGTTTTAAATTTCTTTGAATTTTCTTAATTTTAAATTATCTAATTAGGGTCCATATAATTCTATTTCTGATCCAAATTGGGATCGGGGTTGAGATTACATTTTAGTGCTTAAAAATACACTTTATGTGTTATTGTGAGAACTTAGGCACGTTTTTTGTGTACGTATACTACACTTCAGAAATTTCGGACGTAAACAGATGTAAATATCAGTAATCAATAAGATAAATTATGATATACAGAAAAATCAACCCTCCCTTGCTGTATACAATATAAATTTTACATCGTTTCTTCCATTTGTTTACGACAATAACATGGTTAATATTTGCCCTTAATATCAATCAATCAACATTTGGGACCGTATTGGTTATTTGATATAAATGATCGAATTCTGTTAGATGAAATAATCTAATTGTTTGAAATATTAAAGGTTTATATCATTAGGTCTCAAACATATATGGATTGGAAAACTTGAGTTTGTGACCAAAGACTCAATTTCTTTCATGTAGTTTAAAATCTGACATATTTTTAAACATTTAAGTCCTTTTTTTGAAGAGGTATTGAGAAGAGAAAAGAATTTTAAAATTTCTTGTATGTAACCAATTAACTTTTCTTATTCTAGTATATAAAACGAGCAATGAGTTCACAAAACTGGAAAAATATCATATTGTTGACTAACAATAGACTTTGATACGTCAGAACCAAATGAGAAAATATTGTGTGCAGGACCTGCCATGGCCCTAGAGGTGACGGATCATGATTTTAAGAATTACAAGTTTAAAAAGAAAACATTATTTTGAATTTTAACATTTGAGAAAAATAACTCTAAAGTTAAAGGAAAATATTTGAAGATGAGATTTTATATTGAAGATTTTAATCTCAAGTTCTCAACCGATATAATTTATAAAAATTTAATTTAATCTTTTCTTAAAAGCATTGAAAATTGAAAAATTTTTATGATTTTTAAGGAACAAATATACGACTAAAGATTCAAAAATTTTGTGAAATTATTTATACAAAGATTTTGCGGATTCTCTTTATTTTTTCCGATGTTTCACATTCCTCTTTCACATATTTTGGGATTTTAAAACACCTAAAATCAAAACACAGCACACTTGAAAACACATAAAAAACAGAACACCTAAATTTCAATTATCACTCAGTTTTTGTTATCAACAATATTAACAATTGTTTTCTTTTAAACCCATGTTTTCATCAATAAAGTAAACTTTTCTGTAGATATACTATATTATTTATTATTTGTGCAATTTTTGTACTAAAAGTTGCAACAAGTCTGTTAAACTGTTATTGCAAATAAAACTGTAAACACAATTCTTGATTTTAAAGAGATTTGAATAACAAAACTGATCTTATCTTTTTATTTTTAGAAATATCTTGTCATTGGGATTGGGGTGTATATATGGACCCAATTTTTTTCTAATCAAAGGGACATTAATTTCCCATGATAAAAATGATATGCTTTTTCTTAGTAATATGTCTGCACAAATTAGAAAATAACGAGCTCTGGGTCATTTGAAGTGCAGGACCCGACTTGGTACCTGAAGCGGTTGTTCACTATGCAGTGTATACATAATGTACATACTATAAACAGCAAATCGGACAGTGCGCGGTATGAATCATCTCGTGACACTAAAATTAACTATAAATAAATTAAAATAAACACTTTTTGTAGTACAAGTACAATTTTTTATTACAATTTTTCTTGAATCTTTTTAATTTCAAAGACGACATTTAACAATTTTTAACAAAGTTTATCGGAAAACACTGTACTGAGTGGCAAAGTGATTTATTTACTTTGACTGAGTGGACGTGGATAATTAATGAAACAGCTAAGAGAAACTTAATAATTAAGAGAGTTGTTTTCCCGAGGTTTATCTATCCGAGAACGTAAAAAGATTAATTTTAAATATTTACAATTATTTTGTACACTTGTTATTTCAAGGTATCATCCTTCCTCCCATAATCTTTTCTTAAACATTTTTTCAAACATCACATATAGGGCTTTTTTATAAATAGGTACTCGATCATTTTTTTAAATGTGGGATATATGTTTTTTTAAATCTGAAATTTTTTGTATTATATTTAGTAGTAACTGTTTGTTAATCCAGTATATATATAGTGTATGATTCCATATTATTACAACTAATGATTACAGTAAAATATAAACATTTACTAGTTGAAAATACAGAGTTCATCAAATATTCTATATATGTATCACTGCAAAGTGCAAACTAGAACGAAGGTAGGTCAAACTAAATTGCATATGAGATTGAAATCTTAAATGTTTTTAAACAAAACTATTCTTATTGAAGAGCTATTGAGAAGAATAAAAATGTTTTCTAATTCTAATATGTAGCAGAATTAATTCGCTTGTTTCATACTTATGCTTAAAATCCAAACTAGAGGAGCTGCGAGATCACAAAGTCCAACCAGTAATGTTGCATGAATTCTGTCTAGTTATATGCAACCTCTACTGGTTCTTTTGATTTGAAACCCAAGGAAGAATTTACAAAATTTATCCAGTTACATGGTTACATACTAGATATTAAAAACATCATCATTTTCTCAATACATCTTCAATTCGGGTCCGGGTCAACCTTTCCGGTCCTAGTTTGTACTGTATCGCCCGGACATTGGGTAAATAAAGCAGACACTCAATAGGACTAGCCGGTGCAACAAGGTTGACGCGGTCAGACTTTAAGTTGAATTTACTTTTACTAAAGGGTCAGATCGAGGTGCGTAATATAAGTGGAGTTATGAGTATAGACATACAAGACTTCAATGCAAACGACTTGGAATTGTTTTTAATTTGCAGGTACAGTGGGACCCATAAACGTGTGAAACAGGAAGACGTCTGTTAAAACTCGAGTTATGATTGCAGCTAAATGTCGTCCTCCTATTCCACAGTTTTATGGGACTCACTGTAGAATGCTGCTTTCCTGTTTTAAAATAAATATTGTAAAGACTAATAAATGATGCCGGTCACAAAGAAACAAAACCAAGCTAATCCAAGCCATGGCTTTCAGAAATATATAAATACTAGCTTGGGAACCCAGCTCTGCCTGGAAGCTAAACGTTCTCTATGAAATTTATCCCACTTAACCTAATATATTAAACCAAGCTAAATTCTACCAGTTCCCCAGTCAACATTTGAGACAGATTAATAGATAAGGAAGATTACTACTTTATATAAATATGTATATTATATATATATATATAATATACATATTTATATATATATATTTATATAGATATATATCTACATTGTAAAATTGTCGTTAAAAAAATAGAGATTAAAACAAAATTGGCAAGCAATAAAAGAAGGATTTACTGAAGAAAAAATGTTAATTTTAAAGCAATAAGTTTGAAGTTACAGGGGCCGGAGGTTCCTCAGCTCAGAAACAAACTCCGGAAAAGTATATTTCTGGTTGAGAAAAATTCCAAAAAGTACATAAATTCGTATTTGAGAAATATTTTACATTTTTTTAGAATTAAGATTTTAGGTTGCTGTTTACACAATTATTCGCGTCCTGAGAGCGCTACAGTAACAAAAAGATCGAGACGTACATTTTTAATCTTAAAATTTAGAAAAATCCGGAGTTCATATCCTTTCGTATAAAACTTCAAGGGACTGTGAGCGTAATTTCAAATGACAATTTATTCAAAGATCGCTTAATGCCTGATTTACGGTACCCGGTCCTTTAAACCTTGGAATATTTTACTTCCAAATAGGTTTTCAAATTTTTTAATTTTTTTTTTAAACAACATTTTGCGACTTCTAGAAAGTAAAATTACTATTTCTTTAATATAAACATTTAAATAGCTTGCTAACAAAGTGTTTAACAATTACAAGTGTTTTGATAGAATAATTAGTATTAGTCTGACGTCCTTGGTCAATCAAAGGTTTAGACCGGGTACTGTTTTAAATCGAGGACACAGCTCTATACATTGGAGTCACGTGAAATTACGTTTACAGTCCCTTTAAGGAAAAATATTGCCAAAGTAAAGTTAAGAAATCTTTTTATAAACTATAAAAAGAATGCTGTAACAGATATGATTGCAGGAAGTAAAAGTAGGATATATTACACTCTTGGAAACAGAATTAAAAATAGGAGTTATCAAATTGTAATTTACCTCTCTTTCTTATTGAGCTTTAACCTCCCCTGATCACCCCTTTGCCGCCCTCCCCCCCCAAAATGTATTTTGTTTCAAGCATATAGGTACGTATAGATATATTTGTATATACAGTGATAACCAGAAAACTGTAGAATAAGAAGACGACACTAAAACTATTCTGAAGTGCATTTGATGTTGTTACGAAGCAAATTGCTTTACTAGTAAGTTATTAAATCAATTATCAAGTGAATTGGTTAGTTTACACTGCACTGCACTATTGCCTTGCCTCATGTTAATTGTTCATAACTTGAGTCTAAAAGTGAATTTCCTATTCCAGAGTTTTCTTGTTATCACTCTGTACATGATACATGTATCAACATATTTATTATGATTTAGAACATGTCTATATATGCAACTTGCATTAGTTCGATTTGCGTTAAACCCTAAATTCTCGACATTTTTCAGATTAAGATGCGTTTAACCTTACTTTATACTCCTCTACGGTGGTCTACGTTGATCATGTAATGGATCTTTTGTTCCTTTAAAGGGACTTTCAGCGTAATTTAAAGTGACCCTTCATGCAAAGGTGGCACTTTTGTAGAGAACCCACAATCGTGAACAATCAGTTTTCAAAATTATTAAAATTGATATCTAATTCATACTTGATTATAAAAAGCTGTTAAGGGTATACTGCTGTGAATCATGCATTGTCATCTTTGCATGAATGGGGATTCACTTAAAATTACGCTTACTGTCCCTTTAAAAGTACAAACTCAGGATCCGATAGATTTACTATCTTGTCATAGGTTTAATCAATTTCTAGGTTTATTACTGTATTTTTCTATTTATTTATCTATCTACTCTTCCTAGTTTCTTTAGTTTTCTCATTAATTATAAATCTGACAGAAATAATGAATGCTGAGATTACATCTAGCACAAAATATATCTCTACCTTGGGACTTGAACTTACAGATTATATTTATACCGTAGGTTACTGATGGAAACATATAAAAGAGTAGACAGGCTTCTTTCCATTCATAGGTAAACACACAACAGCTGATCTTAGATCGGGTCTACCTGAAAGTGGCTGATTAATTGCTGTAGTTGCTTAAAAGTCGGCCTGGTACTTTAAATATGTTTGCAGTGATAGGTCTAGTCAGCTCATATTAGATCTAGTCAATTTACATTTGGTCTATTCAGCTGATATTAGATCTAGTCAGCTGATATTAGATATAGTCAGCTGATATTAGATCTAGCCAGCTGATATTAGATATAGTCAGCTGATATTAGATCTAGTCAGTTGATATTTGGTCTAGTCAGCTGATATTAGGTTTAGTCAGCTGATATTAGGTATAACTAGCTGATATTGGATCTAGTCAGCTGATATTAGATCTAGTCAGCTGATATTAAGTCTAGTTAGCTGATGTTAGGTCTAGTCAGCTGATATTATATCTAGTCAGTGGATAAAAAAATCTAGTCAGTTGGTAATGGATTTAGTAAGTTAATATTAGATCTAGTCAGCTGATAATGGATTTAGTAAGTTAATATTAGATCTAGTCATCTGATAATGAATTTCGTAAGATAGCCAGCTGATAATAAGATCTGGTCAGCTGATATAAGATCCAGTCAGCTGATATTTGATCTGTTCAGCTGATATTAGACAGAGTTTGCTGATATTGGATCTAAAGTCAGCTGATATTAGGTCTAGTCAGCTGATACAATATATCTAGTCCGTAAATAATAGATTTAGTCAGCTGATATTAGATCTAATTATCTAATATCCTATCTAATCAGCTCATATTAGATCTATTCGGCTAGTATTTGATTAAGACTGCTGATATGAGATAGAATCTAGTATTTGATTTAGTCACCTGATATTTGGTTTATAGCGGCCATGTTTGATTTGGATTAACGACTTGATGACGATGTTTTTAACTTTGTGTAATATAACTCGAGGTTTAGTAACTTTAGAGTTTTTCTTTATACTTTGACGCTTGATTTTTTAACTTTACATATCAAAGCGTATCATATTAAATCCTACGGTTTTTTGGCCTTGACTTTTTAAAATAAAAATTTGAATTAATTTTATTATGTTTTTATTTATTTTTGTTAAATTATTCATTTATTGTTTACAGTGTTTTCCCAGATGATATATTGGAAGAAATGAGTTCTCACAAATTTGATAATTTCAACAATGAATCAGGAAAAAAATCTTTTTATTATAAATCTCGCTTCACCAGTAAAAGTAAAATCATTTTCGTGCCAAAAAAAAATACTTTTCCATTATGTAAAATTACATTAATAACTTGAACAATGACTGATGTAGAAATTATGTTCTGGCAAATATATATTAACATGAAAATGTATTTGAAAATGATGTTGAAACATGGTATAAACCTTAAACATTGTTTAACCAATAAAACTTTATTGTAAAATAAAATCCTGTCCCAAAATTTAAATTCAGTTCAGGTTTTGGACAAGAGAGACATGGTTTCTGGGCCAAGGGCCGGGAGTTTTTGAATAATTTTAACATTTAGACTAATAAGATCAACATTTTTATATCTTTACTTGTATCCATCATTTCCCTAAACCTGATTTTATTTTCAATCCCGCACATTATTGTCACAGCACACAGGGATCCAAAGGCTGCAAACTCTCAAGTTTTATGAGGTAAAATTTACCCTTTGTAGTACTAAAACTTCTAAAATTGCTAGGAATACAAAAAAATGAGTTAGTTAGGTTAAATAAAAGTCAAAGCGTTGCGACACTTCAAGGTCAACCCTGCAGCCTTGAAAATGTTTCAGTGATCTGGCTCTTGAGGGCAGGAGTTTCAGCAAAATGTTTAATAAACTTAAATTATATATATATATATATAGTGAATATCAAACTTTCAGAATAAAAATGGTCGATGTAGATCTTGCGAAGCTTGAATTGAGGAAATATTTCGTTTCTGATGTAATACAAACTCAGATTTTCTAATCAGTTTATCTTAGCAAATCCCAATTTCGTGGACCTTAGATAATTCAAACTATAAATAATCTAAGTTTGTAATATCAAAGGTTTACATCACTATATATGTTGAAGAGATTAGGGATTAGAAAATTTGAATTACTCTGGCAAAGACACAATTTCTTTTGATACATTTGAAATAAAATTCATAAATTCAAGTTTTGACATTTAAAGATCGAGTTGATATTTTTTACTCAGCTCATATGGTTCGATCTAAAAAATATCTCCACTTTATTTGACAAAAAAATCCCGCCTCAGTCTAATACATTTGAGCTATGTCAAGCAAAACTATACCTACCCGGGCCAAGAATTTAGGGCAAGGAGAGTTTATTGCGGTCGTGTATACTCTGCGTACATAATGAAACCAGTTCTCTTTGGGCGGTATTTGTAAACAAGAATAGATACATCAGTATTCGTTTAGTATCCGAGGAGGTTAAAAGCATTACATTTTGATAATTTTGATAATTCACAAAATAGTTTCCTATGACCAGAATATTTTATTGATTATGTATGTGAAAGATGGATCCCATGCCAGGCTTTGATATCCGTCTTGTGTTTACATTACCGCCCAGAGACAGTAACTCTTCACACAAAAGATGTGTTCACTTCTGAAATAACTTTCCTTCCATTACATCCTTGACCCGGGCTACTGCCGCGCCAATTCAAATCTTTAAAATAAAAATGAATGAGGATTTGAAGCGTTGATTCAGAATTTGAACCAGTGGCATGTATAGTTAAGCGACCTCTCCATTTGATCAAATTCGGCCCTAACTGATTTTCATTTTATCTTTCGGACGAATGAAACCAAACACACCAAAAATTTCTTTATTTATGAATTAAAAAGATGTTTAAGGAAGTTATCAGCTGATGATTCCTACAGTTGTTCATATCTTCCATCTTGAGGATGTAAGTATAGTATAATAAACTACAAGGAAATACATCCTGTATGTATCGGATGAGTTCAGTCAAATTTTGATTTTGTCAAATCAAAATAGATTTTTTAATTTAAAATTTACATTCAAAGAAGTATAAAATATTATAAAAAATAAATTATATGAAAAACATAAAGCATAATTAATAAAATAAAATGAAAGACTTTGAGCATAAAATGAAAATAAAATGAAAGTAATAAAGCATAAAATGAAAATAAAATAAAAGACATAAAGCATAGCATAAAATGGAAATAAAATAAAAGACATGAAAAATAAAATGAAAATAAAATAAAAGACATAAAGCATAAAGTCAAAATAAAATAAAAGACATAAAGCATAAAATGGAAATAAAATAAAAGACAAAAAGCATAAAATGGAAATAAAATAAAAGACATAAAGCATAATTAATAAAATAAAATGAAAGACATAAAGCATAAAATGGAAATAAAATAAAAGACATAAAGCATAAAATGAAAATAAAATAAAAGACATAAAGTATAGAGGACGTGAGTCAGACTCTAATAAAACGCATAAATAACTTCCAGTATATATATTTCTTATAACTTATTACTAGAGGGTTCAGAACTAGAGTCAATATCGATATCGCACGTGTAGACTGTAGAGATGATATCAGTACTGATGCCCCGTATCCGTTCTATCTCATTCTGTTGAATCTTGTGGAACTAGTTTAACGCGGCCAGGCATCGTCTTCCACAAAAGCATATTTAATAAAATAAAATGAAAGACATAAAGCATAAAATGGAAATAAAATAAAAGACATAAAGCATAAAATGGAAACAAGATAAAAGATATAAAGCATAATTAATAAAATAAAATGAAAGACAATCTATTAAATGAAAATAAACGCAAAAAAGGGCTGTAGCGTTTTTTGTGCCTTCCAGTAGCATCCCAAACTTAGGTTAAATCTTTAATTTTTAATTTTGATTTCATTTTTAATTTTTAAGTTTTAAAATCCAGGATTTAATATCTTTTCCTAAAATTTAAGAATGTTTTTAAGAATTCCATTTAAAAGAGGGGTTTGCCTAATTCACAATGTCACTATTTAAAGCTGAAAAAGAATGTGGAAGATGTTATCATTTTTCCTACCTCAAAAGTGTTAAATTCTGATAATTTTCTCCCCAATGGTTCTGCGGAATTAAGAAATTCGCAAGTCACGTTTGTAGAGAAACCAAAGTCGAAAAAGTTAACCATGAATATATTTTTGAAGGGTTCCGCTGTGAATCGGATTCTAGAAATGGAGAGTCCCTTAAAATTACTAATATAATCCCTTAAAGACGTATTCCATCTTAATGTTTTTGCTAGATAGAGTTTTCATTTTACGAAGCAGCTGTAGTTCGCAGCGCTATTTTAATCGGAGGAGCAGACTCTGTTTATATTCATACGCTTTTTCCTCTTTACGGAAGGTTAGTTAATTACCTATTTAAAGCTAGAAACTATTGGATATTATTTATTCCTGTTTAGAATGCTAGATATTGTTGGTGGCAAGGTTATAATGCAAGGAAAGTTAATTGCAGTTGCTTATACTCTGCGTACATATTGAACCCAGTTCTCTCTGGGCGGAATTTCTAAACAAGAATAGATGCTACAGTGTTCGTTTAGTATACGAGGAGGTTAAAAGTATTGAATTTTGATAATTTTGATAATTCACATAGTAGTTTCCTATGACCAGAATATTTCATTATTTATGTGAAAGATGGATCCCATGTCAGGCTTCGACATCCGTCTTGTGTTTACATTACCGCCCAGTGACAGTACACTGCAGTACAAAAGATGCATACACCTCTGAAATAACTTTCCTTGAATTAAATCCTTGGTTGGTGGGAAGGTGTGTTTAGGATTGTCATATTAGCGGGTTATTTTAAGAAATCTTTAGTTTTGAAAAAAGCTATACAACTTGAAATAAAATGTTTCCTATTTTATTGAACAAATTGAATTATAATATTTCTTTTCGGAAATTTAAATATCACTTTTTTTACATTTGACCCAAAAAACGTTTGGATTTTTTTCATTATTTTACACGTGAAAAAGTATAAGTTGCTATGTCCGGTTCTCCTTACAATTTAAAGTTTAAAAGTATAAAGCATGAACAATTGTTTTAAAAGTTTTATTATTCCCTGTCTAAATTCTGACTTCTCAGTGTCTAACCTGCATTTAAAACTATGTAACTCAACTTGGAGATGGAATATTTTCAAATAAGATGAAGCTTGAATGCATATTACTATCATATATAATAATATAATATGGTATCAATGATCTATCTATCTTTATTCTTTTTTTATCGATTTATTAATTTTGGACTCTGTAAAGGAACTGGGTTTTTGCCACAAACTCACGTTTTCTAATCCCTTCATCTTTGCAACCTGATGGTGTAAACCGGTTATATTTCAAATTTTATCATTTGATGTACTATGAATTATGATTAATATTTTAAGCTATCAAAGGTCTGGGACATTAGGTTGCACAGATATAGGGATTAGAAAATCAGAGTTTGTGGCAAAAACTCAAGTCCTTTATTTCAATAATATCTAGACATTTGAATGCCATTATGATTGATCCTTTACTTCCAGAGGAGATAGTTAACATCAACCAATTAGAGGTAAAAAGAAACTGAATACTTGCCTCTAACTCTAATTTTCTAATCCTTATATTTTTGGAACCTTTCAAATTGTCTGGAATGTTAAATAGTTAATTTAATGTTTGTAGGAAGTTTCTTTGAAATATTTATCTTCTCAACGTAAAAATTGATTGCTGACATTAAACGAATCTCTAATTAAAATAAATTTGAACAGCCAATTTTTTTATTATTTAAAAGCAAAAATCATAAGAAAAAAATCTTTACCAAAAGATTAGAATAAAATATTTATAAAGGAACTGAGTATTAGCCACAAATTCTGATTTTCAAATCGCTAAATCTTTGCAACCTAATGGTGTTTACCTTAGATATTTCAAACTATCATTATTTGATCTCAAATAATTCATAGTTTGAAATATCTAAGGTCTCTGACATTAAAATACAAAGATATAGGGATAAGAAAATCAGAGTTTGTGACAAAAACTCACTTCCTTTGCTAGAATATGAGAACACCATGATTTTTATTTATTGAAGTCTATTTATAATTCCTAAAGTTGTTTGTGTCTAGATAGGTTCTGATGTACTAGGAATGTTTGTGTCTAGATAGGTTCTGTTGTACTAGGAATGTTTGTGTCTAGATAGGTTCTGATGTACTAGGAATGTTTGTGTCTAGATAGGTTCTGATGTACTAGGAATGTTTGTGTCTAGATAGGTTCTGATGTACTAGGAATGTTTGTGTCTAGATAGGTTCTGATGTACTAGGAATGTTTTTGTCTAGATAGGTTCTGATGTACTAGGAATGTTTGTGTCTAGATAGGTTCTGATGTACTAGGAATGGAACCAACTCCGAAACTAATTCATCATATGAGTAAAATTTTTGCATTGAAGGTATTTAAGGATAGAATATTTACAATAAAGGGACTGCACGCGTATTTTAAAGTGATCCTCCATGCAGAGGTTTGAGGGGTACCGTTGAGAATCGGGGATGACCCTCTTTAAATGAAAGGTCACTTTAAATTACGCTTACAGGCCCTTTAAACATAGAATATTTACATTAAAAGTAGAATATTTACATTAAAAGTTGAATATTTACATTAAAACTAGAATATTTACATTAAAAGTAGAATATTTACATTAAAAGTTGAATATTTACATTAAAAGTAGAATATTTACATTAAAAGTAGAATATATACATTAAAAGTAGAATATTTACATTAAAAGTTGAATATTTACATTAAAAGTAGAATATTTACATTAAAAGTAGAATATTTACATTTAAAGTAGAATATTTAAAAAGTAGAATATTTACATTTAAAGTAGAATATTTAAATTAAAAGTAGAATATTTGCATTACAAGGTAGAATATTTATGTTTAAAGTAGAATATTTGCAATTTAAAAGTAGAATTTTTACATTACACATAAATGATATATTCTTTTCTTTTAAGTAAAATTTGCAGTTAAAGTAAATTATCCATTAAAATTGACTGAAAAAATATTATTTTTAAGAATAATTGTCTAATGTCTATATAGCATCAAAAAATTGTGTTTTTTTCTGTAGGAAATAGGAGGAATTGTCTTACCACAAGGTGCTATAATTACTGGTAAGAAACGATTAAAACTATTTCTGTTTCTAATAAAATAGTACTGGTCAATGGATCGAATGAACTATGGAATTATGGAAGTATGCCCTGTTTTAAAAAATGATCTTAAGGGACTTTTTTTAAGAGACTCGTCATAAGTCATTTCCATTAATAAGTTTGTATGTAGGTAACCTATCCTGCTTCTTAAAGTATGAAAGTGCAGTTTACAAGGAACCAGGAATTCAAGAATATGAAATTATAATGGCAAATGCTGCCGCTAGGTAAGACACAGGGCGTCAGACGTCGCTTAACAATCGCCTTAAACTCAATTTCCTTTTATCTTTGCAACTTGATGGTTATTATTATTCCAAATTAGACTTTTCGATCTAGCAAAACCCTAAATGTAAATTAGATGCAAAGATATAAGTCTCGATTAAGTCGATTAAGTCGATTAAGGCTATCTATCTATCTATCTATCTATCTATCTATCTATATATCTATCTATCTATCGATCAGTTCCTTTGGAATATTTAAAAAGTTCTCATGCATCGCATTCTTTCATAAAAGATTCAATATGGATCAATACGTTTACAACATCAAGAATTGGGGCATTTAACATTTTTTATTATTCTAAATCTTATCGTGTAAAAATTACTTTCATGTATATTGTCGCCCCTCCCCCCTCCCCCAAAAAAGTCAAGAATCATTAAAATGTCCCCGAGCTGTATTGTACTATGTGTATTGTGTGTGTATATAAAATTATTAAAATGTCCCCGAGCTGTATTGTACTAAATGTATTGTGTGTGTATATAAAATTATTAAAATGTCCCCGAGCTGTATTGTACTATAAAGTGTATTGTGTATATAAAATTATTAAAATGTCCCTGAGCTGTATTTTACTAAGTGTATTGTGTATATAAAATTATTAAATTGTCCCCGAGCTGTATTGTACTATAAAGTGTATTGTGTATATAAAATTATTAAAATGTCCCCGAGCTGTATTGTACTAAGTGTATTGTGTATATAAAATTATTAAATTGTCCCCGAGCTGTATTGTACTATAAAGTGTATTGTGTATATAAAATTATTAAAATGTCCCCGAGCTGTATTGTACTAAGTGTATTGTGTGTATATAAAATTATTAAAATGTCCCCGAGCTGTATTGTACTAAGTGTATTGTGTATATAAAATTATTAAAATGTCCCCGAGCTGTATTGTACTAAGTGTATTGTGTGTATATAAAATTTTTAAAATGTCCCCGAGCTGTATTGTACTAAGTGTATTGTGTGTGTATATAAAATTATTAAAATGTCCCCGAGCTGTATTGTACTAAGTGTATTGTGTATATAAAATTATTAAATTGTCCCAGAGCTGTATTGTACTAAGTGTATTGTGTATATAAAATTATTAAATTGTCCCCGAGCTGTATTGTAATAAGTGTATTGTGTATATAAAGCCGAATATTGCACTAAGACATCAAATGTTTCTAGAAACTGGAAGTAAAAGTAAAATACTTTATTATTCAAATTTGTAGAAAAATAAAACCATCCTTCTTTGTGCACAATAAACCTGGAATTACAAAAGTAAACCATGCAAATTTTTAAATTTTTTATCAGGAAAACTTTTTATTTTCTAATATCTGTGGTTTTGAGGTAGAAAATACCACCTTAAAGGGACTGTAAAGGAAAAATGAAAGGGGGTATAGGCTGAAACCTGAGAAGTTGAACGATCCTGTCTCGAGAAATTGACATGAAACTGTGAGAAAATTATACCAAAACTTAAGATATACGTCTGTATCAGGTGACCAGAACTCCCTCCAATAGCAAGCAATTAAAAATGAAAAATTATTAAATTTAAATAATAATAGGAGCAAACCTGAGTTTCTCAGGCTCCTCTGGGATATTGTCGTTTTCAGATTTGTTGAATATGATCTGTTTAAAGGGAGTGACCGGCTATGTAAGGTAGTTGAACTTATTATGCAGTTTTGTGGAAAGCTTCTTTCGTATTCATTTGAGACATATTAAACTTTACAAAGATCTGTAAATCCTGAGTTTGTGCGCAAATTCGAAGTTCAAAACTCCTACTTTGAGGGTGTATACGTTTTCAGAATTAGTTTTTTTTTTAATTATTAAATAACGACGACATAAAATGTAAGAAAGCTCTACAATAAACTACAGACGTCATGTATAGGAACATGTTGAGAAAATAAAAATTAATCTTATCATCGAAAATAAGTAATCTTGTTCAATTATTAGTTTCTATTATCTCATTATTCTGGTTTCTCATTATTCACAAAGATTTTCGCAGATTTTCTAGAATTATTGAATGAAAACGAAATAATCGATTTTAGCATTGATTTATTGACAAATTTCTTTTGAGAAATATGTTGCTAACCATCTAATTAGATTACTGTATAATTTTTACTTTATTTTTCGTTGTCGTTATTTAATAATTAAAAAAAAACTAATTCTGAAAACGTATCCACCCCAAAACTACATAGCCGGTTACTCCCTTTAATACTACGAATCTTAGGCAAAATCTTACATATATATGTTTTGGTATAATTTTGACACCGTTTTATATCAATTTCTCGAGACAGGAACATTATATAGAATTCTTATAGGTCTCAATCAACTCCTCAGATTCTCAGGTTTCAGCCTATACCCCCTTTTATTTTTAATTTACAGTCCCTTTAATATACCCCCTTTCATTTTTCCTTTACAGTTCCTTTAAAGTAACATAAATTAAATTAAATTCTAATGCATAATCCCCGATTAACAACGCGTGCCCTTTAACTTAAGCCGTCATCTAGCTGAGCAAGACGAATTAAGATATTCAAGATTTTTTAATTCAAAATTTCCTATCGTGAACTCTCTCTAAATCTAACTTCCGGATTTCGATGCAACAAAAAAAAGGAAGGAATTATATCTTATCTTGCTTTAGAGAGGTTTCAATGGCGCGGTTGTAAATCAGACATGAAACTCTGGAGAATTACTTAAAAATACGGAAATACTTCCTTAAAAAATATAAATTAACATTTATTCCTTTATTTATAAAAAGATGGTATTTTAGTATGGAACAATTTGCATTAAATCCCGGTAATCTAAAAAACTTATTTTTTAAACCAGCTCTTTACAAAGGAATGTCATTTACTCACAGGAAAATTGGAATTAATGGAAATTAACTGGTTCTAATTTTAAGAGAGTAAATAATACATTTTTTATCTTAGCAATATTAACGTTTTTGTTTTAAAATAGGTTGTTAGATGCTAGTATTGATGAATACGTGAACACAAATATAGATTGGAAGGATCCGGTTCAAACTATAGTTCAGATGCATCCAGAGTTCGTTCATCAAATTAGGTGAGATATTTTATTGAAGATATTCCTCCGAAGGCCGAATTTAAAGAATTGGAGCCACCTCTCAAATTTGAGACGTGGTTCAAACATGGTTGGTTCCACTAGAAATTCTGTTATGTGTTTCGAAATTTGAGCCGGCGCTCAGTTGGAACCTGTTTTGGGCGGTTCAGCGACGCGATTCAAATTCTTTAAATTCGGCCCCGGGTTTAGCGTCACAAAAATGAAAGCATTGAGCCGGGGAAAGGCAACTTCTTTCAAGTTTATAAATTAAAATTGATGCTCATGTACAGTATAGATACACTTAATCAAGTACTTTCTGTGACCGTTTAATGAACGCCATGTTCAATTCACTCCAGTTCTCTTTAAACCTTTACAGATTTTAACTTCCCTTGATTTTTTTCATCAGATATTAATTGTTTTATTTGTGGTATCACTTTAACATTTCATTGCAAATTTAGGCTGCAAATATTTATGTAGAATATAAAATATGGGGAAACCTTATAGATAAACATTAATGTGTATTAAATTGGACATGGGTTAATTTAATATTAAGTCTTCAGTCCATTAAAATTGAATTTAGACTCAGAATTCCCCAATCCTAAAAGATTTCTTTTTTAGCTCTGGGATTTTAAGAATGAATGATTCAATGTTGGACAGTACTGAAGGGAGACACCTAGCGGAAATATTAGAAAACCATCTAGTACTAGTGGATCCAGCCCAACTAGCCCAGTATACACCGGAGAATATTATTCAGATGCCTGGGATAGTTCCTGCTCTACTAAGAAAAGCTTGGTTCGGAATATATAATTATATTGTAAAACAAGGTTCAGAAGTATCATTGTAATACTGCAACCTTTAATCATAATACGTTTAATAAAGAGTATTTAGATCACATTTATATCTCTCATTTCATCTTCTGTCTTGGTTTGCTGTGTCTAAAGCATGTTTCTGTACTGTACTCCTTTCCCTAGTGGCCTTTAAGTCGGTTCAGTACTAACACTACATACTTACAATCCACTACCAGTATGTAATGTAAACAATAAAACTGTAACTTTCCTTTTCCTTATTTTTAAGAATCGGAGGAAATATTCATTTATTTGCAGTTAAAGGACTGCGAATGTCCATACTGTTCACCAAGTTGGAATCTGCACTTACAAACGAACAATTAATACTTGTATACATTTTTCATTTTCTAATCCCTAAAAAAATATAGACTGTCAGTTCAGGACTTCGACAAAAATATTATACCATTATGCATTAGTCCAAAAATGTGTGGGGGAATGCAAAATGAAAATAAAGTTATAAAGATAAAGGGACAAGAAAATTAGAGTTTGGGGCAAGTAATCAGTTTTCTTCACGTTAAAAAATTGACATAACATTGCGGAGATGAATTATGAGTTTTTACGGATGAAAACTTGATTAATTGTTGCCAAATCTCTATGAAATCTCAGGATGTCATATGAAATAATTTCCGCAGTGTTTTTATTTTACCATAAGAATTTTCCCACTGCAGCTAATTTAATTGTCTTAATATAACATTTTTCTTCTTTAAATAATTTTTGACATTTTGTAAAATAAATTATTTTACAAATTATAAAGTTTTAACAATTTCAATTAAAAACAAATAATTTTATCAAATTTGAGAGAAAATTTTAAACTCGAATTTTAATAAATAATATTTGATAATTTCATTTAATTACATTCTTGTAATTTTATGTCATCCTTCATTTAAAGAGTTGACTATGCTCTCTGAAACCCATATCTGTCTATCTAAAATGTAGAAGATAATTTCCTTTAAGTAAATTCTTGTAATTTTATGTCATCCTTCATTTAAAGAGTTGACTATGCTCTCTGAAACCCATATCTGTCTATCTAAAATGTAGAAGATAATTTCCTTTAGTTAGATTCTTGTAATGTTTGAGCCAGTTCTGGACCTTCCTCAGCTTTGTAAATGTTTTTTTCCACGTAGACTGCAGCTTCATCCTGAAGAGACAAATAGCTGTCAATCAGAACAGGATTGACCAAATCTAATATCCTTCTAATTATCCGAACATCCCAGATGTTAATTCCAATATGATCGGGTAATGATTAAGTCTTTGAGAGAAAGAAGTGTAAAGTGTTTTGTTTTATTTACCAACCTTTTTCATGAAAAAGTAATTCATGATTTTAGATAATCCAATGAACAAAAACATACTAGTTGTGCAGTGTACACAGATCTGTTTTACTTAATGGGTTGATGTCGTCTTCCTCTTCCACAGTATTACAGGCCTCCCTGTACCCTCCCCCCTGTCCCTGGATAGGGTTTAAATACATAATACTGGATGAAATATATTTGTAGAAATTAGCTTGAAAACTTTCTGAACAGAAATAACATAAAAACTCATATAAAGAAGCAATATAAATAAATTAATTCACAACTCAAAATAATAAAACTTTGTACAGCCATTGAATAGATTGTACTGCAAGCTGCACAAAAGTTATGTTATCTAGCATACAAACCTAAACTTACCAGAAATTCTGTACGGAGTAAGTTATAAATTTACTATTTGCACATTGTACAATATGCATGTACAGTTCTGGGCGTACATTGTAAGTGTACTGTTTTGTATACATCAGATACTATTAGTATTGTACATGTACAGTTCTGTACATACCTTATACTATGTGCATTGTACATGTACAGTTCTCTGCATATATTATACTATGTGCATTGTACATGTACAGTTCTGTGCATATCAGAAACTATGTGCATTGAACATGTGTACATTTCTGGGCGTGCATGGTAAGTGTTACAGATTTTTATATATCAGATACTATGTGCATTGTACATGTACAGTTATGTACACATCTTATACCATGTGCATAGTACATGTACAGTTCTGTGCATATCAGATACATATGTGCATTGTACATGTACAGTTCTGTAAATATCAGATATTAGTTGCATTGTTTGGTTTTAGGCTAAACTTATCTAACTGTAATATAGTTCAACAATTAATTAATGCAGTTAGTTTCAAGTGTCCAAAAAAAAGGGTTATTAGTTTCCATGCTAAAATTTAGACTCTAAGACTTGATTTAAGTTTCTTGTTTTATAGGACACCCTGTATCTATTTTTTGGTTGATGAAAATAAAAAAGATAAAGTTTTTAATTGAAATTTTTAAGCTAAATTTTTAGAAATTACTCAATTTAATCATATTATCTTTTTTTTCTTTTTTTATGTTTTTAACTTCATAAACTAAAATAAAAAAGCTTGTAGGAAAATTGTATGAATAATATGAAAATATGAAATACATCCCTCTGTATATAAAACAGCTCGCCCTGGGCATCTAGAACAATCTGGGTTCAAATCCTTTGTAAATTACTGGCCAGCAGGGTACATTTTAAATATTTAGGATACAGGGATACAAAGATTCAGGGATTTATGGATACAGCTAGGGATACAGACATTTTGGGCTACAGGGATACAGGTATGCATGAATATATATATGCATGGCCTGGTATAAGGAAGAAGAGATACAGGGATAAATGGATAGTGGATACAAGGATAGAGAGATTCAGGGATTCAGGGGATAGAAATATGCAAGGATACATGGATACAAGCATACAGGAATACAGAGATTCAGGGACACGGAGATTCATGTATACCTGGATACAGGGATACAGTGATTCAGGGATTCAGGGATACAGGGATTTAGAGGTACTGCGATTCAGGAATACATTGATACAGGGATACAGAGATTTAAGGATACAGAAATTTAGGGACACAGAAATTTAGGGATACAGAGATTCAGGTATACCTGGATACAAGGACACAGGGTTACATCAGATACAGGTATACAGAGATTCAGGGATGCAGGGATACAGGTCAATAGGGATACAGTATTTAGGGATATAGGGATACAGAGATACAAGGATAAATGGATACAGGGATATATGGATAACGGGTTACAGAGATACAGGGATATAAGGATATATGGATACATGGATACAGGGATAGAGAGATACAGGGATAAAGAGATACAGGGAAACAGGTAAACAGAGAAACAGATAAACAACTAGAGACACATAAATGTAGGGATACAGGGATACAAGGATAAAGGTAAACAGGGATACAGTGATACAAAGTTCTATTGAGCTAAGCCAACGTGTTTATATCAATGTAAAAAGAAGAAGATTTATGATAGTTAAGAAGATTACAAGGATATTTGAAAAAGATGGGGAGAAAGTGAGATACAAAGTGTATGAAAAAATGAAATACAATGTGAAAGTGATATAATTCAGCAAAAAATGGTCTGAAAGTGAGGGCTCACTGATTACTGGGATAAAGGCGTAGGTTGGGTCTCTGATACGTTTAACAGAAGAGTTTTTATTAAGAAGGATATTTAATGTTTCATGTTTAAAGCAAGGTTGAAGCCCGACTAATTTAGCAAAATGATATTTATAAATATAATATAAGAGTTTAAACACTGAACAAGTTCAAGATCTAGAAATTATTTAACTGTTCCCCGTCCTTCAACTTGTGTATCAAGAGACCTGAAATTAACCTTCTGATACTCAACTTAAGATAAGATTTTTGAACTTAAATACAGAATTTACTCCGCTGATCGGCATAAACTTTGGCCTCGTGAAAATCTGAAGGGGAAATCTAATTGGGAACATAAAGTTCTGGAGAAGTCGGGATCAGGACAAATTAGAGTTGAGAGCTTCTAAACCCTTTAACCTGGGCCTATACAGATACATTTCTGAATATTTTAACTCTATACCTGGGCCTATATAGATACATTTCTGAATATTTTAACTCTATACCTGGGCCTATATAGATACATTTCTGAATATTTTAACTCTAAACCTGGGCCTATATAGATACATTTCTAAACCTTTTAACTCTAAACCTGGGCCTATATAGATACATTTCTAAACCTTTTAACTCTAAACCTGGGCCTATATAGATACATTTCTAAACCTTTTAACTCTAAACCTGGGCCTATATAGATACATTTCTGAACCTTTTAACTCTAAACCTGGGCCTATATAGATACATTTCTAAACCTTTTAACTCTAAACCTGGGCCTATATAGATACATTTCTGAACCTTTTAACTCTAAACCTGGGCCTATATAGATACATTTCTAAACTTTTTAACTCTAAACCTGGGCCTATATGATACATTTCTGAACCTTTTAACTCTAAACCTGGGCCTATATAGATACATTTCTAAACCTTTTAACTCTAAACCTGGGCCTATATAGATACATTATTGAATCAAGGTATACAAATTAAAGAGGAAAGTGTGGGGGTGGGGGTGGGGTTGAGAATGTTTTCTAATTTTAATATCTTTGAAACCAAATGTCATATTGATTTATATTTCAAAATATCACTTCTGTGAGGTCAAATAATCAAAGATTAAAATTTCAAAGATCTATATTATTAGGTTGCAAAGATATAAAGATCAGACAATTTCAGTTTGTAGAAAAGACTCAATTCCTTTCTGATGATTGGAGGATATTTATGCAAAGATGATTGGAGGGTATTTATGAAAAGATGATTGGAGGATATTTATTCAAAGACGATTGGAGGATATTTATGCAAAGATGATTGGAGGATATTTATGCAAAAATGATTGGAGGATATTTATGCAAAGATGATTAGAGGAAATTTATGCAAAGATGATTGGAGGGTATTTATGAAAAGATGATTGGAGGATATTTATGCAAAGATGATTGGGGGATATTAATTTATAGATGATTTGAGGATATTTATGAAAAGATGATTGGAGGATATTTATGCATAGATGATTAAAGGATATTTATGAAAAGATGATTGGAGGATATTTATGCAAAGATGATTGGAGGATTTTTATGCAAAGATGATTAGAAGATATTTATGCAAAGAT